TTCCAATAAAAGTACTACACTATCCTCCGGAGTTGTACTAAATAAATTGATTATCCTTATTTAATCCCCAAACACATCTTGTTTTTCATATCTAGGATCTTGAGCTAGTTATGCTTGAAGATTTTTCCTTCGAAGTCACATGAATGTAATTTTCAGCAGATACATTAATATATAGAATATATTGCATAATTTAAAAGCTTTTGATTTATATTACGATCAATAAACCTAACTTTTCGGCAAAATTCTTCTAAATTAGGGGCTAACGAGTGCTAGCTTGGCATCGAAACTCTCCCTAATTATGTATTAATACTAGGTAGTTTAACCACCTATCCGAAAGTGTGCAGACACGATGCCTATATACTAACGCAATAAATGCACGATTATCTGGCCAGCTTGAATATTGAAAAATGGACATAAAATTAAGATGTTTTATTTGTAGTATTATTCATGATCCACTGATTTTATTGAATACTATTTACCATGACTATAAATAATGAAGTAAATTAGAATGGAAGGTTCAGGTTTGTTTAATAAATAATCCAATGATAGGAATGTGATATGGGAGAGGTTCGGCTTGTAATGAAAATTATAAATTAATTGTGATTTGTTTGCACACGTAGCAGTGGTGGCGAGGTATTTAAAAAAGAAGCTTCACTAGCAGAATTCTATTCTTGTTGGAGGTAGAATTGAAACCAAGGTGTTGTCGGAATTGCAGACCACACTAGCTGAGCAGACCTACTTGGAAGCAAGGCTAAGAGAAATTCACAGGCATCGTTGGGCTTGCTGATATCATTGTGAGAAAATTTGGCTATCAATCCTTCATCAACTTATGTATGAATACAGTTCTTAGTAAAATTGTTGTTTTAATTTATCTCTAGTGGATGCGCAAAAATCGCAAATAATAATAGATAGCTAATATAAACACCTATAAGTAGTAAAAGCTTATTTGAAACAGATGTAAAATATTGTGTTTGTTCGACATTGTTTTCGCAACTTGGTAGGAAACGCAGGGAGACCTTGTGGAACGTACCTAGTCCCGTGTCATCTGTCACGGTATTCATGATTTTCCGCATTTGACCATTGGCTGGGTACATTCCCAATGCTGGAAATCACGAATAATGTGGCAGAAGACACTGGACTAGGTACGTTCCAAAAGATCTCCCTGACGCTCCGACAAAGTTACGAAAACAAGGTCTTACCAACCCTATAAAGATAAAGGAGACTGCGACTAAAGAGAAGGCCACACCATCTTGGCCTTCATATCTACAATGTAAAGTATTATTTATAAAGCCTGACTTAATTTAGCAACTAAACTAAATAAACGATTAGATGTGATTACTATATTCATATTCAAGAGATGATAAAGTTTTTTGAGATGGCCTCAACTGTCATTCACTTTTTACCTGAATGCGTGTGTTGTTCTGCGCTCCCCAGACCCTATTGTTGGTGTCGGCACTGAGGATATCATGCAAATAACTATGACGGGTCATGCTCTAATGCCTGCTTATGTGACCTCGCAAAGAAAAAGGATGTAAGTTTGAAAAATGCCTGAGGATGTGTACAGTCACCGAAAGTGCTGAAAGAACCTGAATATTAAATAGTACTAAAGCGACATTAGGTGATTTGTTATATATTTAAAATAGGACAGTGTTTTAAAATAAAAGGTGGCTGCAATCAAACATTAGACACGTTGCCATGTTATCCAAACATAAGGGAAAATTATGCTTATATGTATATTACGATACAAAATGTTTGGGAAAGCATGAGATAATTGGCCTCCGGCTGTAAATAGTATGGAATTACGATAGTGATACTCTGTCAGCAAAAATCGTTTATAATGTTAATTCTAAAAGTTAAACAAGTCAAGCCATCAGGCAGTTACAGAGAATGGAAAAATAAGTATATTTACTTTGGTTCATGATATAAATTTCTCAATTTATCTTGTACTACCAGCTATCTTCATGCAAATTGAAATTAGACTAAATAGGAAAAAATGTATTGTAGTGCAAAGGTTTATTCAACAATATGATTCAAGTCATAAATAATGCATCTTAATACCAAAAAAAATAAATTACTTAATAGAATCATTGCTGAGCCTTCGGTAAATCATGAAAAATGAAGTGCTTCTTAAGTTTAGTTACTTCAAATAATCTGACAAAGCAAACAAATCGGAACTTTCATATTTCCTGTACGCATTCACAATGTTAGTCAGAAATGGAGATTAGTAACAAATAAGGCTATAGTAATTAAAATCTATAATAAAGCGGAAGAGTTAGGAGACTATTTTCCTCAATGATTGAAGATGAACACGTTATTGTATTAGTGCTCAAGGTAAATAAAAGAGTCAAGTTCCATATCGCATTAATTTGTAGGCATGTGAAGTCCTTATATTCCCTTGTTCAAGTGTAACACACATCCATTCCCATTGATCCTTGAATAATAAATACTAGGATCAGCCCAGATAGGATTTTCCTGTGATTTCCTGAAGCTAAATGCCTTATATGGCTTCCCTTGAATATTAAATAAGTTAGGCTTCACTCGTAATCACTTTTATCACACAAATCTTACACTGACAATTTGACAACAAGCGGACTTTTGGACTCAGGCTCCTTTGTATATAGGCAAAAAAACTGTATCTCATCTGGCTCTCTGGTGCTAAATTATAGCACCGCGAGTGTAAATTAAGCAGTTCCAAAGATTAGCGTTGCCGAAAGCGTTTCGATAAATCGTTTTAAGGCTATCCAGAGCTCCATTCGCTTTGTATGATAAGCGGACTAAGTTGGCTTGCCTGGTTGGCATAACAACAGGGAATCAAATTTAGTAAATAAGTTTTATTATTGTTTTCTATCCATTAGAAAAGGCCTGGTTGCCAGAAGCAACTGGACCTGGCCATCGCCACTGCTGTTTAAGTCCTGCGCCGAGGGAAGCTTTAGCGCCAGATTCCGCTTCCAGCGCTACCTCCCAGGCTCTGACTTCCATAGTCCATTGGCCAGAATCCTGTAGGGCTTTTTCTTCCCCATTTTCTACTCCCTGTTTTATATTAGACACAAGAACTAAGCACATGCCAATTTCAAGAAAGTGGATGCGAACTTGTCGAGGTGATTGCTTATACTTGTAAGGCACTGTTCACCAGTCGGCAACTTCGCGACCAAAGCTTGTTACGTTGATTTGTCTCAAATGCCCAAATAATATAGTTCAAAAGGGTGTCTGGCAGAACTCCGCCTATCAGAGCCAGTTCAAGAGTAAGCTCACCACAAAGAGCATGTTCTTCTGGCTATTAAATCAACCAAGCAAGGCAAGAGAATGGACGACCCCGCATCTGAGAAGGAGCAATTCTTACTGGAATACGAATCCATACACGAAACGGGCATGAACTCCAAGTTATACGAAAGTTAAAACGAGAATATATTGCATAATTTACACTCCGAAATGTTTCCGAGTAAGACTTGATATTCATTACTTGATGTTATCATAGCATTAAATGTTGAAATCTTAGATTATTGCACTTCATTTTGAAGCGAACAGAGAGAAGAGGACGAGCCGGCACATGATCTTGTATGATGCATCATTTAACCTTTATACTAGTGAAACAACTACGGTTAGGAGAGGACATCTTCCTAATGCTGAGTGCCAAAAAACAAATACATTCACTCCAAAATGTGGTTTAAGCCCGGGACCCAGGTAACGAGGATGCTCTAAAAGAGGATAATTCCGCCTGCCAAAAGTGCGAGTAAAAGCACAAGGATTTGGAAGATGACAAGAAGTGTGGAGTATCCGAAATTGGGCGGCATGTGAAGATGAGTCAGACCTTCATTCATTTAATCAACGCTTAAAATGAGCCTTAGTTCTAAAGGATTAAGGGGTCTGTTGGCATTCTGCTTAGTTAGCATCTCCAGTGCCAATTAGTGCAACGAGGCTTCTTGACTTGGTGATAACTTAGGGCTTTTGCAAAAATGAGTTACAGCCTTCACAACGTATTGTCAGAGGATGGACGAAAGTTTGCCCAGTTTTCACGCGAAACGAGGGGGATGTTTGGCGGACTGCCAGACAATTTCAGAGCCATGAGAAGCGGCTGACATCTTTGGGTGATATCAGCCTACAAAGCTATTTTTCAGACGCCTCTGCATGGAATTAAACACCACCCGAGAGCCTATTTCAAATAAAAGTCAACAATTATTTGGTGAAAAACTATAATTGTGAGTGAATATATGAAGACCAAGATGTTGTGGCCTCTGGTGTGGTCGCAGTCTCCTTTCGATTGATAGAA